TCAAAAAAAAGAGTTTTGTCTACTTGGTTCTCAGCACATAGCAGTCTGAAGATATTTTTAGTTGATGCATCCACCAAGAAGAGATACTGGGGAGGTGGGATAGGGAATATATGGTGCTAACGGCATATACTAGTAGAGGTCAGGGATGTTGTTAAACATCTCACAATGCAGGCTGGGCGCGGTGGCTCAAGCCTGTAATCCCAGCACTTTGGGAGGCCGAGGCAGGTGGATCACGAGGTCAAGAGATCGAGACCATCCTGGTCAACATGGTGAAACCCCATCTCTTCTAAAAATACAAAAAATTAGCTGGGCATGGTGGTGTGTGCCTGTAATCCCAGCTACTCAGGAGGCTGAGGCAGGAGAATTGCCTGAACCCAGGAGGCAGAGGTTGCGGTGAGCCGAGATCATGCCATTGCACTCCAGCCTGGGTAACAAGAGCGAAACTCCGTCTCAAAAAAAAAAAACCTCACAATGCACAGGAGAGTCACTCAACAAAGAACTATCTGCCCAAAATGTCAATACTGCCAAGTTTAAGAAACCCATGGTCTACAGAAATCAAAGACTTACTTTTAGAGATTTGCAACTACTTCTGGTATAGAATAATCTAGATCAAGCGACATCAAATATATTACAATTTTAAAGGAAGGCCAGGCGCGGTGGCTCACGCCTGTAATCCCAGCACTTTGGGATGCCAAGGTGAGCAGATCATGAGGTCAAGAAATCGAGACCATCCTGGCCAACATGGTAAAACCTCGTCTCTACTAAAAATACAAAAATTAGCTGGGCATAGTGGCGTGTGCCTGTAGTCCCAGCTACTCAGGAGGCTGAAGCAGGAGAACTGCTTGAACCCAGGAGGCGGAAGTTATAGTGAGCCAAGATCATGCCACTGCACTTCAGCCTAGAACCTGGTGACAGAGCAACCCTGTCTCAAAAAAACAATTTTTTTAAAGGAAAATATTATATAAATCTATTTAAATGATGACAGAAAACTTAATGTTCTACAGTAATTTTCATGAAACCAATTTGTTTATGCAACAGATTTAAACATGCTCTATGAGAATACTAGAAAATAATACCAAAGTGCAATTACAACCTGAAAAACCAACAAGTGCCCTACAGCATAAGACCAAGCAAGAGTAAATGCACTGATTTAAGGGTGTTTTATTTCATTAGTTTCAAATTTTAAAATATTTTACATGTTGAAATTCAAGTAAATCTGGCTGGATGTGGTAGCTCATGCCTATAATCCTAGCACTTTGGGAGGCTGAGGCGGGCAGATCACTTAAGGTTAGAATTTGAGACCAGCCTGCCCAACATGGTGTAACCCCATCTCTACCCAAAATGCAAAAATTAGCTGGGCATGGTGGTGGGCACCTGTAATCCCAGCTCCTGGGGAGGCTGAGGCAGAAAAATCACTGGAACCTGAGAGGCAGAGGTTGCAGTCAGCTGAGATCCCGCCATTGCACTCCAGCCTGAGCGAGAGAGTGAGATTCCTTCTCAAAAAAAAGAAAGAAAAAAAAAAAAGAAAGAAAGAAATTCAATTAAATCTTGGGTTTTTTTCTCATATATATATATTTTAAAGATGAGGTTTCACCATGTTGGTCAGGCTGATCTTAAACTCCCAACCTCAGTTGATCTGCCCACCTTGGCCTCCAAAGTGCTTAGATTACAGGCATGAGCCACTGCGCCCGGCCTCAGAAATTCAACTAAATCTTAAATTATAGGGAACACTATTTCAATGAGATTGAACTGTGTTTAAATCCTTTAACCAGTAATACAAACCAAGCTCGATTTTTTTTAAATAAATAAAAGCATGCCTATCCTTGGAAAGTCATGACAGCATGGTATAATATGAACACAAGCAGACCTAGATCCAAATCCCAAGTTCCATGTTTGCAGACAAATAATTTAGCTTGCCTGAATCTCTATATTCTCACCTAGGAAATAGGAAATCTAAAGAACTGTTCTTGAGAATTAGCAATAATGTATAAACAAATGATACTAAGAACAACCAGCCATTCTACAAATGGCAGCTAGTTACTAATAGCAGCATTAATAGTAAAAAATACAACCTATGAATAATTATCCTTTTTTTTAGATGTGCCTCTTCAGAGGGTTTTATATCCTCATAATCAACAATTTACTTATGTAATCCAACTCATAAAATAATTATAAAATGTACTTTATATCAATATTCCATGCCTAACAACTTTGGAATATTATTTAAAACGACTTAAAATTCATACTCATATTTAAAAATAAACATCTAAAACAAAGAAAATAAATATTAATAAATTAAAAAGAAACATCTGACAAATTTCCAAACACTGTCTTAAGGGAAAGAGGCCAAATGGTGCCTTTTTTGAGTAAATCACGTTCATATGACACATAATTCAAAAAATATCTACTCCCCATGCCCCAGAGACCCAATTCCCCTACACAGAAAGCAGTCAATTTTTCCAATTTCTCATGAAACCTTTTACCTGCACAGGCAAATACACATATTCCCCTCCATTTGAAACAAATGGTGGCCTCTCCCACACTATTCTGTATCTTGCTTTTCACATTTATCTTGTTGGCTGTATTTTAATTAACACACTCTAAGAATGGCCACCACAATCCAACAAGCGTCAGCTATCTCTACAAAGACACTTAAAAGGCCACCCCAAAAAGTCCTTAAATCAACCAGTGTTCTTACTAAACACAAGCACACAAGCATATGAAATAAACTTTGGTAAAGTGCAGATTTACCAAAAAAGTGACATGATGAAATAGTTATTTGATCAGCCATTCAAAAGACTGGATTTACACCCTTAAAAAGGAAACACATGGACTGTACTACAAGTCCTTCAATGAGTTGAAAATAACAATCTACTTATAGATCTGGGACACTAAAATGTCAAAAAATAATGGTGAAAATAAGCTATTTATTGGTTATATTTATTCCAAGATTAAGTGATGTGAACTTTTCCTAAATGTTCTTTGCAACTTATTTTCCTAGAAGAAGTTTCTTTCCATATTTCTATAGGTACTGTTCTCAAAAAAAAAAAAAGTTTGTCGTCCCTATTTTCTTCTTCTGAAACGCTTATGATACTTATTTGAAGTAAACCATCATCCCTTATGTATAATGAGCAGTGTTATTTTAACAATATGCATTACTAGAGAGCAATACAAGTATTTCTGGTAATCTTCAAGTTAAGTACTAAGAATACCACGGTGAAGTCAGCTCATAAAAAGCAGAGACCATATAAATTACTAGAGTAGTAACTTACCACTTTTCAGTAATAGAAAATAAAGCATTAAAAGTCTATTAAGTTTCAAGCTTCTACAACCTTATTAAACAAGAAATGTTTTAGGTTGTTGGCAACAATATTAGCTGCTATCTTCCATTAGAAGTATATATGTCAAATATCCTGGAATACATTTTCATATTAAGTTAAAATTGCTGTTTCACTGTTATCAATACAAACACTTATGACTCTGTTTCTGCACTGTACCACAAAATACAAAGTCATCCTTCCATTCAGAGTTTTGGCATATGAACAGAGGTCAGAGTTCATACACATGCTCTGTAAAACTGATCATGACTTACATACTACTACTTTCAAGAAGCCTATTTGTCATTTTTGAATTTTAAACAATTTTTTCTTCATGTCTACTCATCACATACTTAGAATGCTGAATTTCACTAATCACTATCGACATTATCGAAGTACTAACCGTAAAAGAAAAAACACAAAAGCAACGATATATTCAATAATGGTACGTGAATCTTGAAAATAACCATTTTCTGTATTACTTTTTGTTTAATCCTTGTGGGGAAGGCAATCTGGTATTCTTGTTGATTTTTGGTATGAAAAACTGTACTAATACTTATGTAATTCTGAGTCAAATTACTAGAGCATTGTGAATATCTTACTTAAACGTACTAATATATCTAAATTCTGCAGGATTTAAGAGCAACGGGAGGCAATTTTTTTGAAAATCTGCTATATCGTGATAAATCTACTCAATAAAGAGATAAAACAGTGTATTAATCTGGTAAAAGCACACGTTTTTAATAGGTCTACTTTTCAAAAGTAAGAATCAAGTTAACTATGAGGGACATCATAATGAAGTTTCGTGGCACAACACTAGTCACAGAGGTACTGTATTAGGACAGTCTCTCTGATCTGTAACTTGTAAACAATATTTTGAAATAAGCTACTCTTACATTCCATTTTTTTTCTAACTAAAAATATTTAAATGTCTTTAATACACCAAACACCTTGCCTTTGCCCACTCAAAGACTGAGATGTCGATAAAGACGAGGCCTAGGAATTTGGGGGTAAAGTGGAAAAGACATAACGATCTCATTTGGAATTAACTTGCTAACAGAGGTGAAAATTCCCTTATCCCTGCCACCGAATAAGACAGTATTCTATTATTCTCCCCTTGACTCCTAACACCCAACTAAGAAGGACTAACTCTGAATGTCCTTCCTTTTTAATCGATACCTAAGGACTCACCGCTCCTTCCCTAAGAAAAGGACGGTGACGGCCTGACAGGCAATAACCCAGAATATCCTCAAAAGTGTGGGCCTTAGAGCAGCACCGGCTCCTCCGGATACAGTTACCACCTTTCCCCTTCCCCCAACCCACTTCCCGGGTTTTCTCGGGCTCGGCCTGCTCCCTCCCCACCCCAGAGCCACACTTCCAGCTGTGGCCACCGCCTCGGGTTCTCTCGTGAGCTTCCATCCCGCCGAGGAGTTCCCCCCTGTCCATCAGTTCCCCAAACTGTGTTCCACCCCAGACCCCCCGCCCGCCGAGACCGTCCATCCTAGCGCTGTGGGAGGGGAGGGGAAGGCGGCGGAAGGAGGAGGGGAGCACTACTGCTTCCCCACAGGCAGAAGGGCGGCCGCAAGGAGGGCCACCCAGGGACTACCGGGGATATCGGGGTCACGCTGGGAGGACCCTCCCGCCCGGGCAGAGGTGGGGGATGTCCGGGAGTTCATTTCTGACCTCCTCGCTCTTCAGCACCTCCTTGAACTCCCGCTTGATTCGCTGCACCGCGATGTTGGCCATGTCTCCGCCCGCAGCTGATTCGTACCCGCCTCCTCCGCCACCGCTACGACCACCGCCACCGCCGCCACCTCTTCCTCCACCGCCTCCTCCCTCAGCGATTCAGACCCGAGCACACGAACACTGCCACTACCACCCCGGCCACCGCGCTCTCCTCAGTGTGGAATCACCTCCGCGCCCGGCCACCAAAATGGCGCCGGGTCCGCGCATGCGCATGATGCTGACCCGGCCGGGCGGCGCAGCCGCTCCCGTTGTAGCCCCCATTCGCCCGAGCCACGAGCGCGCGTCTCGACTGGGGCTGCGGCCGCTTGACTCCGCCCTGCCGGCGTCTGGAGCCGGGAGGGTGCGCCTTCCAAACTGGCCGGGACCGCCGGTCCTCCCCGGCGCCTCCACTTCTGTTTAAACCCGGGTGCTGTGGTCCGGGCTGCCAACCCCTGGACTCTGACCGAAGGTTCGGGTGCAACCGAACGGTTCCCGAGGCCGCAATCGGCTGGAGCGCCTTCCTGACTCAGCTAGACCCGGAACCCGGTGGCTGAACGCCGGGTGCGGGAAAACGTCTAGTGCAGGAAAACGCTCTCCCGGAACTCGATCCGGCCCATTTTCAGTTGGTGTAGCCCCAGAAAATCCGCTGCAGTCGTTTTTGTTCTGCAACATTTATAGTACCAAGATTATTCCCACCATCTCAGGTAGCACAGATTATTGAATTAAGGCTGGTTATTGTTGAATCAGATCCGGTTTGAGACAGGTATTACGTGGAGAGGCCTGATGATGGATCTAGAAGCCAGATGTTGATCTTTGACCTATTTAGATAATACAGAGCTTGATACACACACACACACACACACACACACACACTCGCGCGCGCGAGCACATACTCCCACTCCTATACACACTCACTCCTGTGCCCATCCCTAGAGTGTAGGATGGCCCCAAGACACACTCTCTCTCTCACTCATTCTTGTGCCCATGTCTGAACTAAAGCATGTGAAAATTCATATAAAAGTGAAAATTGGAGAAATAGAAACAATTATAGTGCTTTTCAGGGCACTGGGGGTGGGGGAGGGGAGCTTTACTTCTGTAAACCTAGGCCTACAAAGGTGCCTGGTGCTAGTAGGCACTCAATAAATATTGAATGAATAAATGAGTACACGTAAGAGTAAAATGTTTTGGCTGCCACGGCGGATCGCTTGAGGTCAGGAGTTCGAGACCAAGACTGGCCAACATGGTAAAACCCCGTCTCTACTAAAAATACAAAAATCAGCCAGACATGGTGGCGGGCGCCTGCAATCCCAGCTACTCTGGAGGCTGAGGCAGGAGAATCGCTTGAACCCCGGGGACAGAGGTTGCAGTGAGCGATATCGGGCCACTGCACTCCAGCCTGGGCGACAGATCTGTCTCAAACAAAACAGAACAAAAAGTGCAAAATACTTTAAGTGGAAAGTCAGTTTGAAAGTGGTTTCTGGTCGGGCACGGTGGCTCAGTGCTGTAATCCCAGCACTTTGGGCGGCCGATGGTGGCAGATCGCTTGAGCCCAGGAGTTGGACACCAGCCTGGGCCCCATGGTGAAGTTCCATCTCTAAAGATAATAATAATTTTTTTTTTTTAGAGTGGTTTCTAAGGCTCATAGTAATAATGATATGGTACTGAGAAACACTTTGAATAGAACATTTTAGAATGAGTAATAAAGATGTTATTTTAGAAGTTTATACTTCATGTACTGCCTTCACCTAGCCAACCAATAAAATATCTTATTTTAAAAATATCACAAACACATGGTCTTAGCAAAAGTAATTATAATTGTGGCACCAAATACGGAAATAGCCAATGGAGGTGAATCAGTGGCGGCATAAGGCAAAAGAGAATTTCTTAAACTCCTGCCCCAGGTACCAAGAGGAGAATTTTAAATTCCAGTTTACTCCCATGCCAGCTCTCTTGCCAGCTTTGATTTCCTCATCTGCGAAATGAGAAAACTGGATTGGATTATCTCTTCCAAGTTTTAAGAGTTCAGAACTCTATAAAATATCTCAAAACATTCCCCCTAAGTGGACTGACATAAATTATATAAACCCTTCTAACAGAGCCCCCTAGTGGTCCTAAGAGGACTCAACCATATACATAGGTCATGGTACAAGTAATTATTGGCTTAATGTAAATCACCCAATGCTATATGTATTTGTGCCAGTAGACTTAAAAAAAAAACTATTTTGAAGAGTGCAAAAACTTTTTGAGCACTTTACATTATCACTATTCAATCCTAATCTTGGAATGTAAAGAAACTTGGAATACTCAAAGGGGGACCAGGTAGAAGTTTCCAGGCCAGGGCTGTGGCTCACGCCTGTAATCCCAGCACTTTGGGAGGCCAAGGTAGGTGGATGATGAAGTCAGGAGTTTGAGACCAGCCTAGCCAGCATGGTGAAATCCCGTGTCTACTAAAAATCCAAATAATTAACTGGACATGATGGTGCATGCCTGGAATCCCAGCTACTGGGGAGGCTGAGGGAGGAGAATCATTTGAACCCAGGAGGCAGAGGTTGCAATGAGCCGAGATCATGCCACTGCACTCCAGCCTGGGTGATAGAGTGAGACTCTGTCTCAAAAAAAAAAAAAAAAGAAAAGAAAAAGAAAGAAAAACAAATAGCTCTACAAAGAAATATTAAAAAACTAGCCAGGGGTGGTGGCACATTCCTGTAGTCCTAGCTGCTTGGGAGGCTGAAGTGAGGCTGGCTTGAGCACAGGAGTTTCAGGCTGTGTGAGCTATGATTGTATCACTGCATTCTAACCTGGTGTCAGAGTGAGACCCTGCCTCTAAAATGATAAATAAAATAAAATAATTCCAAAAGAAAAAGTTTATTTATTAAAGGGTATGACACAGCATATATTTGTGAGGAGAGAAAGGAATATGCTTGTATATATGATGCTTGTGAACCATAAAATATCACTGGAAAAATGTAGAAGAAACTGATAACAGTGGTTACCTCTCAGTATGGAATTTAACAACCAGGCACGGTCGTTCATGCCTGTAATCCCAACACTTTGAGTGGTCAAGGCGGGGCGGATCACCTGAAGTCAGGAGTTCAAGACCAGCCTGACCAATATGGAGAAACCACATCTCAACTAAAAATACAAAATCAGCGCCAGGCGTGGTGGCTCACACCTGTAATCCCAGCACTTAGGGAGGCCAAAGCAGGCATATCATCTGAAGTCAGGAGTTCAAGACCAACCTGGCCAGCATGGTGAAACCCTGTCTCTATTAAAAATACAAAAATTAGCCAGTCGTGGTGGCAGGCACCTGTAATCCCAGCTACTCAGGAGGCTGAGGCAAGAGAATTGCTTGAACCTGGGAGGCGGAGGTTGCAGTGAGCCAAGATCGCACCATTGCACTCCAGCGTAGGTGACAAGAGCCAGACTTTGTCTCAAAAAAACAAAAAAATTAGCTGGGAGTGGTGGTGCATGCCTGTAATCCTAGCTCCTCAGGAGTCTGCGGCAGGAGAATCGCTTGGACCCAGGAAGCGGAGGTTGCGGTGAGCTGAGATCATGCCATTGCACTCCAGCCTGAGCAACAGGAGCAAAGCTTCATCAAAAAAAAAAAGAAGAAGAAGAAAAGAAAGAAACTTAAGTAATTTGGGGGAAGCAAAGTAGGAGAATTTTCATCATATCTCCTGTTGTATATTTCACCCACCTAAAAATAAATTTTAAAAAATGTGTTTCTAGTAATGCAGAACATAAGCTCTTCACTATTATGATCTAATTCTGATTAACTTCATTAACTAAATAATTAAATAAATATTTATTGAATGCCTACTATGTGCTAGGCCCTGGAGGCATATCAATGAACAAGAGGTTAAAATATCTGCAATTGAAGAATTTACATTTTAGCAGGGATGGAGAGAATTAACCTCAAACTATAGTATACAGACATCTGAGGGATCACTGAGACAGTTACAGGCATTCAATCTACCGTGCTTAAACTGTGGTTGGTTTGCTTGCTTTTTAATTTATTTTATTTTATTTATTTATTTTATTTTTGAGACGGAGTTTCGCTCTTGTTACCCAGGCTGGAGTGCAATGGCGCAATCTCGGCTCACTGCAACCTCCGCCTCCTGGGTTCAGGCAATTCTCCTGCCTCAGCCACCAGAGTAGCCGGGATTACAGTCACACGCCACCATGCCCAGCTAATTTCTTTGTATTTTTAGTAGAGACGGGGTTTCACCATGTTGATCAGGATGGTCTCGATCTCTTGACCTCGTGATCCACCCTCCTCGGCCTCCCAAAGTGCTGGGATTATAGGCTTGAGCCACCGCACCCGGCCCTATTTTATTTTTTGAGACAGAGTCTCGTTCTGTCACTCACTGCAACCTCCGCCTCCTGGGTTCAAGCAATTCTCCTGCCTCAGCCTCTGAAGTAGCTGGGATTACAGGCTCATGTCACCACACCTGGCTAATTTTTTGTATTTTTAGTAGAGATGGGGTTTCACCTTGTTAGCCAGAATGGTCTCGATCTCCTTACCTCATGATCCACATGCCTCAGCCTCCCAAAGTGCTGGGATTACAGGCGTGAACCACCTCGCCCAGCCCCATCCCAAGTTTTTAACACAGAAAGTTATTGTAATCTTTTCTTCCCGAAGCTTTATATTGAAGAAAGCAGCTGTAATTATCAACGTTTAGGCCGGGCACAGTGGCTCAAGCCTGTAATCCCAGCACTTTGGGAGGCCGAGGCGGGTGGATCACGAGGTCAAGAAATTGAGACCACCCTGGTAAACATGGTGAAACCCTGTCTCTACTAAAAATACAAAAAATTAGCTGGGCATGGTGGCGCGTGCCTGTAATCCCAGCCACTCAGGAGGCTGAGGCAGGAGAATTGCCTGAACCCAGGAGGCGGAAGTTGTGGTGAGCCGAGATCGCGCCATTGCACTCCAGCCTGGGTAACAAGAGCAAAACTCCGTCTCAAAAAAAAAAAAAAATTATCAACGTTTATGGAAGTTTAAATCACTTTGTTAGATGCCAGGAATGCACAGAGAAATAAGATACATACTTCGCTCATGAAATTAAGAATGTATTGGGGCCGGGCACAGTGGCTCAACCCTGTAATCCCAGCATTTTGAGAGGCCAAGGTGGGAGGATCACTTGAGGCTAGGAGTTTGAGACCAGCCAGGGCAATACACTGAACCTTATCTCTACAGAAAATTTAAAAATTAGCCAGGTGTGGTGGTGTACACATGTAGTACTAGCTACTCTGGAGGCTGAAGTAGGAGAATCACTTGAGCCCAGAAGTTTAAAGCTGCAGTAAGCCATGATTACATTACTGCACTCCAGCCTGGGCTATTGCTCTGTCTCAAAAAAAAAAAGCAACAAAAATGAATTCATTGGCTAGGCACACTGGCTCACACCTG